TATATCTGGGACAGGTGCAGCATCATTTCGATTGCATGTGTTTGGTATTGATTCGATAAACAAAGATTCGGTTATCAATCTCTCCCTCCCTCCACCCAACTAAGTTTTCAACACTGTCACCCTATCCTACCCTAATGTGTGATTGTGTGTCATCGCATGCAGAGCTGTAGCCGAGTTTTTCTCTAGATTTCTTATCTTATTAGGAACTACTAATCTTGATTTAGCCAAGTTATTGTGCTGTTATTCTAATCGACCCTGATCGACTGCTTTGACCTATGTACTTGATCTCGCAATCATTGCAAGGGATCTGGTAAACCAGATTGTTTTGCTCAATTACACCGATAGGATTTTTTTTAACCTACAAAGCTTGTTTCTAAGTGAGTTTGTTGGTTTGAATGCCACTTCAATCCCAGACTAATCGAGAATTCTTCGTAGTGCTTCTGAGGTGCCTTCCTTGTACGGTAACACAGCAGAGGCTTTGAATTCTCTCTTAACCCTGTCACCATTATTACCACTAGTAGTGGGATTATTATTAATAACAAATGCATTTCTTCTTCTACTACTCACACTACTACTACTACTACTACTATTTTTCTTTCTATTTCTTATGAATTGATTTATAAATTTTGGTGGGTGAATTATTGAGACGTAGGGTATTCTTGTTATGTCTAATTTCTTGTCGCAGATTTTCTGATCTGCTAGTAAGCTTTTTCGCCCTATCACTTAAGCATTTAACTAAGTCTACTTTAACTGAAATGGGGTGGGATGATTCGAAGTCTAAGTAGCGATTCGAATGGGTAAGTTTCCTATAGACACTAGTCTCTAGATTTCCTTCTTGTGTTCGTTTAGTCTTGCAATCCAACATTGCTGGCTCACCTTCTTCACTTTCTAAGTCATAGGTGAATTGGATTGCATTTACTACTGAATTTATATGTGCCAAGAACCTATTGATGTGTTCCGATTTCAGTACTGTAAACGTATCATCTACCTATCGGAACCATATCTGTGGAGTATTCTTTTGTTTCCCTTCAAAAGGTGGAACTTTAGTTGATGTGACTGTGCTGATTGTGGATATAATGATTTCAAGGTAGCTTTTAGTACGGATCGAAATCATGAGTTGATGACTTCATGGTGTCTGATGCAGCTGTTATATGCTCTGTGATAATCAAAGTGTATTTATCGGGTGTGCAATATAGTCAGTGGGCAGCACTGTATTTTTTCGTCGTTGTTATTTTTTGGTTGATATATCACCCTAGATTTATATTTCATTTCTATTGGCGGTCATCAGAGTGTCGTCTATGTAGCCTTTATGCGGCATATGACCGAGAATCTTTAGCCAAGAACAAGAAGTGAATGGTGTAGACAACTATCACGTGCTCAGTGATTCTTTCTATAATATAACTCAGCAAATATCGGTTCTCAAACTACTGAAACGGGTTTCTGGTGAGTTTTGGTTGTTTTGGAACTGCGTCGCACTAGTTTCAGGCAACCTCGAGCTCTTAATATAACAGATGAGGCTTACTAATGTGTGCCTACATACGCAAAACTCGAGTAGATCGGTGCTTTTCGTCAATCCACTGCTAGTAATCAATACCGATATGTGAACGGATATCCACTGTAGGACTTTTGGTAAATGGGGCCTGGATGACAGTTGTTTCGTCATAGTTTGCACACTTTTCCAATTCACACTGGTGAGATGTTAGTTACAGGCACTTTTTTCTTGTTGTTTAGATCCTTTTTATAGAAGTTACGTCTCCTGAAATGACGCTGCTGACTGAAATTTCTTGTCTTTGATAGCTTATTTGAAAGAGTAATTTGTTTAGAAGCTCACCTGAGAGTATCCTAGCTGTCTTTGAACTATCTAATTAATTGTTTGTTTGTGGTTGTCTTAGGTATCTGTGATTCATTGGTCTAAGGTCTAAGGGGGTGATTTCCATACAGTAGGGTACGGGTACGATTCCTCCCCACCTACCGACGTTTCGGCAGCCAGGTAGTATCACTAGCCTTTACTCTACGAGTGGATTGTTGCCTGTTGCATAAACTTGCTAAGTGTATCTGAATCTTTCGATTTGATTTTTTGGTGGTGGTTTGCAGTGAAATGCATGATAAGCCTTTCTTCCTATCTGGAACACACCAACTAGATGTAGCTGAGTGTTTACCTATCGGAACTTGAATCCACCACTCTTCACTTCAGTTGCCAATGCGTTATCCAATTATCAAAAAACAATGACCGACGTATCCTCAGCAAACTATAAGTTCCATGAAACAGAAATAAATCAGTGGGTTTGTTCATTTTCATTAGAGTGTTTTATTCTGAGAAGCCGATTATTTGCGTCTCTGTTTCTTCAATATTGTTCTTTCGGTGAATTAGTAATGTTATCTCTTCCTGTTTCTTGGTAGCTACTGAGTTTTAAAAATGAATTTATCTAGTGGCTTTTTGTGATATTCAATCTTTCCGGAGCATGCAACGTAAATACCATGGAGGCTTCTTTTTAAAAAAAAACTGAAAGTTTATTGATCACCTCTAAAGAACAAACCGCCCTGATAGATATAAGTGAAGTTTTGTCATACTTGCGATGAATTTGCATGTCCTTATTATTGTGTAGTCAATGTAGTAGTAATTCTTTGTCAGTATACTGGAATGCGACGTCAGTTAGTCGATGAGCTCGTGGACCTTCGATGATTGAGGAGGCTTGGACAAGCGTTGCACATGTCAAGTTACTTCCTTCCCGAAACACGATGTTAGACGAAGCAATATAAAGTTGGAAGCATGCTAAAGGTGGCCAAATCAAGTTGTGAGACACCAGTCCATGAAGTCTTCGATTATTGGCCCTGAAGATAATGAGAACCGATAGGTGGGGACTCTTTGTGATACACCTGAAAATCGATCAAACTGGTGCAGATGTATTGATTCTTTGTCATCTTCGTGGTTTTGCATATTTTTATTAACCTTCCACTGTTTGCGACCGCACATTATTATTAAGGTGAAGTTGCCGGTGATACCGCAGCATTTAAGCAGAAGTCCATATAGCGGTAATGACTATGTTCACCACTCGCATATTTAGGCCTTCTTTGTTAGTTTCTATCTATGCACTTGAAGCTGAAATCTATTCAGCTACGAAAAGATAGAAGACATAAATCTCATTTAGCTGTTAACAGCGGTGTTCATGATGAACTGGAACAAGTATTGCAAATATGCGAAAAGCAAACAAATCAACCCAGAACCTGGCACATTAATACTCATCTTCAGCGCCTAGTACTCTGCATCTTGCTTCAGCGTCACTAACATGATGATTCCACCACAGATGTCTGTAGTTTAAAACCCGTAGTCTCTTCGTATCTACTTTCAGACGTCCCACCCCACAACCGTACAATGAAAGGTAGTGGACAGTATTTATTTCAGCATTTTCATTCTTCAGTAAGTAGTAGAATATTTCACCGGCAACAGAGATGATGTGAGTTGACAAATAAAAATTCTGTCCTATGTATCCGACTCAAACATTTGTCCCCAACCAAGTCATTTGGTCAGCATTGATAGTCATAAACAGTGTTATATCAGATGTAGATTATCAGTTCGAAAATTGCTACTGGAAAATGTGGTTAGGCATAAATCTGGCTTCATCGGTAGATACACAGGATACTTCTCCACTGCCTATTCACTTAAGACTTTATAAACGTTGGAAGAGAAGTATTCAGCTTGCTACTTGTATAAAGTTGACTGATTTAAGCTTTCTTCATCACAAGTTGACTCTGGTCACAGGACCACCGAGAAACAAGCAGCACTAAAAAATTGCCTTATTCGACTTTGGGACTGACAAAAATGTGCATCTACGCCACCATATGATATTCAGCCTAAGACCTGCAGATCTTGCAAGAATCATGTCACCATTCAGTGACTATGTTAAAGTACATTCGTCTATATGTTGTCTCTTATGCATTCATGATCCAGAATAATCTATGTTTATTGTCACCGGATGGTGTGTGAGACTACTGTTGATATGGTTGGCCTTGCCAACGATAAATCTTCATTAGATTTCGGAAAATCGTCCGTTTTGGAGGCAGTCTGTAATGTGTATTTGTGTGACTTGCGTAGGATACAACAGCTGATCGGGAACTGACTCAGCTGTGCATGAGGCAATCAGTGTGAAACAGTGAGTGGCATATTTAGATGATGCACCTGTTTAGAACTACCTGCTCATGACTAGTACTCTAGTTGGTCCCAATTTATGCAGAAAACTACTGTGAAAACAATACACAACATTTTTTAGTTGAGAAATAATATGAACAACGTAATTCGAAGGAGATAACTAACTCACCTTGGTCTATTGAATATTGAGTATAGAGGAATTAGTTTACTCCATGAAACTTTAATGCTACGATCAGCAAGCAGAGCGGAAGTGATTTGTCCACTTATACATCTTAAAAAATTACTTTGCGAGAAAGTCTAACCTTTCCATTAAGTTTCTTGGCAAGATAAGCAAAGTGTATCAAGAAAAGAGATAAGTTGGTTAGTGAGTTCATACATCTACATTGACTCAGATGGCTGAGATACCTAGTCACTGTCTGATCTGTCGAACAATGTTAGCTGAAGTAGGTTTAAGCTGGAAAAATATTAGAGCTGGCATACCACCAGTCCATGAAACCTTTGCCTTAGTCCGAACCGAGTAGGAGAATGTTGACTTTCTGTTTGGATTCCGTGTGACTGGAGAAACCAGTAGTTGGAGACTGTGGGTGATATGGCTAAAAAGAAATATCAGTGGCGTAGATATATGCATTCATTATCCTCATTCAAACAGTAGTATTACATTCCGTCAATTGTTTGATACATGTGGCAACTTGGAATGTTACACAGTATTTCCCTGTCCCATTTTTTAACTGACTGAAGATCAGTCAAGGTATTATGGTTATGAATATGATGTAATTTTGGGATTGAATGACCGACTAGGTAGGTATTTGAAAAGAATACGATCAGTAAAACGACGTAAATGCATGTAATTTACCTCAGAAATGGTTCGAGATGGTTCATCTTCCTTATCACTTGCATTAGATGACTTCACTTTCCCAATATTCGGTTTAGGTGTGATAAAATAACTTGATCTACGCCTGATTCCAGATTCACCAGCAGGCTTCCTTTCAAGTGTCTAGTAATCAGTTTATCCGGGTAAGCAGATTCAATAGCCTGAAATAAAATGTGAACATTAGATTATTTTCTAATGTGGTTTTTAGGGTCATTTGAAATTAAAATCATCTACAGAAAAACTATGATTACATAACACAGAATTTTTATAAAGTAAGTAGGCAATTTGAAAGATATTTGAACACTAACCTCCCCTGTGAAAAGTTAGGGGAGAGGTGACTGTAGACTTTAAATTCTCGTCAGATATAATATAAGATATAATATAAGACATGGAAATTATGTACAAGCAAGTTAGGAAAGAGATGCTAGTGGATCCACCAAAGTGCAATAAATGTGCACCACGGTCAAGACTAGTTAGAGCGATGCAACTGATTTGGTATTCCAAGTCATCTACAAGTTGAAAAGAAATTTGCTGAAAATGACACGTTTCTGAAATACTCACACTGTCACTCTCAGACGCCTAACTCATCGTTTCCCTTTTGGATTCAACTCGAGGACCTGACCTGGAGCATGATGTCCCCAATAAGTCTTCTCAGTGCATGTCCAATCGAATCCATCTCCACTTCCCCCCACCGCATATTTGTTGGGTGATAGTTTCTTGGTTGGTTCGTTCCCAGACAGCCAGAGTTCCTTGTTGCCTATTCTTATTATTCTGTCCATCTGATCTTCAGTATTGAGTGAGCGTAGGTGGCAGCTGTTGATGAATGTCTGTAGTTTGTTGGAAGTGCTTTTCATGACTCGCCAAACTTCTGAACCATACAGCACCACTGACTTGACCGAATTGGTGTTGAGAATCCGGATGTTGTTCACGCTTTATGCTGAGTGCAGTGGAGTGGAGTGGAGTGGAGTGGAGTGGAGTGGAGTGCAGTAGATCTGCACACTGATTTCAGATTAATGAAAGTCTGTCTTGCTGTCTTTCCGATCCTGCCTGCTTTGACATCCCCGTCTGTGCCGCCTGTAGTTGAAACGATGCCGCCTTGTCAGGTAGGTGGAAGAGACAACTTCGTTTACATTTCTCCCGTTAATCGTGATTGATGCCTCTTGTTTTTGATGCTGTTGTTGGTTGGGTATCATCATCATCACCTCCATCTTCTCTACATTCACTTGAAGTCCTGTTTTCGCTGCCCTGCCTCTTCTGTCAACTTGTTAGTTTCCGCCATGTAGATCTTCGAGTTTGTGGGACGAGACATTAGAAATAAATCATCATCATCATCATCATCATCATCATCACCATCATCGGTGAAATCTAAATCTTCTTCTAGGCTATTTTCATCGGTCCAGCCAGCATATGCCCATCTTCTCACTCCTCACAGTTGTCTGCTGCATGATCCAGTCCAGTCTAGTCGACCACAATCAGATAGGTCATGAGTGATAGTAGGCAGGCAGCCTTGTCTTACTCCTGTCCCCTGTCTTCATTCACTTCGAAGGCGTCACTGAGCTCTTTCCATTGTGGATCACTTGGCATGTGGCACCTTCATATAGCTAGCTGTTGAATGAGATTGGTAAGGGTTTGTGGCACTGACACCGTAGTGTTGAAGCAACTGCCTGTCAAATTACTTGTCAGTCGACGCTTTCGAAGGCTTTTTCAAAGTCGATGAAGTTGAGGTGAGGTGAGGTGAGGTGAGGTGGGGTGATAGTATCTTGTTCACCGACACACTTGAAAGTCCTTAGGTTGATCTCTCACAAGGTTATTGACATGGTCTGTTGAGGAGACCTAGATTCTGACAAAACATATGCCTAGTGTTTGCAGATCGTTAATGGTCGAGCAACTGGTATCATTCTGTAATAAAAACCACTCTAAATTCAATCAGTTTTGGAAAAAAGAAACCTAAGTGAATTAGTCATCTTATAATTTCACGTCATCTGAACTATTCAATCCTCATTTCACTACCATGTCCTAAGAAATCAAATCAACTAGGATCTGTCGAGTTTAGGAGTTGACTGGCTGATGGTCAGATTATTACTAATTGGCCAGGGCTGTGATGTGTTTCAATAATATGGAAACGTCAGTTCATACTGAAAGGAAATAGAGGTCACGTTTCTGACTAAGATTTTCATTTTCAAGTTATATAGCAAAAGGAGATTATTAAACTGTTGTCTGAAGAAACACAGTAAACTAAAAGTTTGATCAGAAGTGAGACTGAAAAACTCACTAGATTTATCATCAGATGGACAATCCAGATGGTGTGAAGTAAACTGCTAGCTTATATGAGTAGTTGTAGACCAGTCGTGTCCATCAGAAGTGCTAGCTAGCCAGATTTAAGTGTTCTGAACACCGGATGAAAGTCATACTCATCTAAAGTTGAGTCCATCAACTGTTTACTTGGACTAATTTGACTGAGAGAGTCAAAGCGTTCAGGCAATCACCACTGTTCACGTTAACCAGTTGTATACTTTGTACGGATTTCATGCCTACAATTTTGGCAGAATTTTCTCTGTTGACCAGATCATATTGTGTGATCTGAACATTCTGGTTTCTATAGGGAACCACGGGAAGTTCCACAACTGGATCTTGCCTAATGGTGTCATTATCACCACGAACTGTATATTTTTCAAACAAATGATTGGATTTCCCATGATATTCAAGCAAATGCGAAAATGAACAACAATCTGACAAATACAGTCGTTCCCTTCTTCAAATGCAGTCTTTCAATTAGAACTGTCATCGATAATCTAGTTAGTGATGCGTCTAAAATTCATTTCTAGAAACCGATATATGATTTTTAAAAATGTCATCGTATTCAATGCCCCACCCTACCGAATGTATCATATTTGAATAAAGCATATGGATGAGAAACATAGACCAAATAAATTACAGCTTAGGTATCCTGTTTCGGAGTATTTTGGTAATTTATCAGTTATTAAGGCATCAACTCGAATTTGAAGACAGATGATATCATTCAGTACCTTTTTTCTGCTCACTTGAAGACACTGCTGCACCTCTAATGGTCTTATTCGAAAGCCTTATCACACGAAATCGCATGGTTTACTATCATACCCTTTATACAGGAAATGCACCTCTGAGGTTTTGGGCTGTTAAGAAGGATGGAACAACTAACCAACAGTATTCGTTGATGAGTCCTAAACAGGATGACAACAGAAGTTATTTCAATTTTTTAAGTAGTTTGCAGACTGAAATCACTTTTTGCTTTGGAATACATACATACTACTAAACTTAAACGTGAAAGTACTTGGGAGTTAGGCTTTCTTTTGGTCATCAGATTATTTCAACCTGGTGTTCATCATGAATTGACAAGAACTCGACGGCGATAAACATCCACTTCTCTGTAGCTTCAAGCTCTTAAGTGGTCCACCCACACAACCCTGTATAAGATCGAGTCCGTGACGTTTGGGCCTCTTGGTGAACATGTTGCCAGTCACCTACTAGTCTGGAATCCAACAGTCTACATTTCGCGATGATAGCCAGCTCCAAATCACTGTCTTCTAAACAGATCAGTCACTTGAATACTTTTACATTTGTTTTGAAACTACAACCATCTAACACCCATTAAAATGCCCCACGACAGTCAGCCTCCTAACTTGGTGACCATATTGCAAAGTGATGGATAGAATTCGGTCAGCTTTCTGGACTAGATAAAATGAAATTGGTTACTCTTCAGTGATCAATCAGTGAATCTAATCCAGTCCTACAGGAAGTCAGTCGCAGACCTCGTAGTTCAGTGACAATGTCACTGGTCGCAGCATTGTATGGCAAGAGTTTGAATCCCAGACGGGACGTAAGTTCCTTACCTAAGGGTAGCAGATATCCCTTATTGATGAGTGTCAACAAGTACGAAACCTAGGTCCAGGGTTTCTTACTGATTGTTGCCATTCAACTTACACTACAACTTTATCTCACATGTAACGCATAAAGTATGAAAATAATAGACAATCGCTTATTCAGTACTCAGTTTGGATTGTCTTTGTGTTCAACAGTCTTCTTCCACTTCAAATGATTATAATGCCAGGAGGGTAACTTTCTGGCATATATATAAACGTATGATTACCTTCACAACTGTCTCGACTAGCTTAGGGGTGGCAGGTCTTTCAGGAATGACTTCGATAGCTACATCATCCTTGAATTCAATACTGGTTTCTTTTTCCATTTTCTTTTTCTTCTTCTCCTCCTTCTTGGCTTCATCTTTCGCCTTTTTCTTGTCTCTATTCAGCATTCGTCTACGTGGGATGAGGGGGGTGGGTTGAAGAAAGGAGAAAAGGTTTCGTTTTTTAACAAAAGTATAAATAGATTTACTATTCCGTAGAAAAATCATTTGATAACAGAGTACAAACTTATATATTAAAATGTTAAGATTACTGTTATCGCACTACTGATAATCACATTTCAGTAGTACAACAGTAATATCTCGTGTCAGTAAATTTTGAGATTTTGCTACCACATAAACAATAACTTTACTCTGAGCATGATGGTTAATCGAAACTGGCTTTACAGGATCAAAAATATTTCACCGCTTTGTGAACAGCTTAGCCTACCGTCTACCATATGTAAGGAAGAGGGGAATCTGACTACACTATATACATTTCAAATTCGATTATTCGAGGCAGATAGTGGTTGAACAGTACAAGTATACTATCAATTGTGTTTTCACGATCTCATTTGTGTTATAGGATTATCCGGGTAATGATATCATGCATGAGTCTAAGTTTCTGAGCAGTCAGGAGAAGCCATTTGGCGAAGTTGTCAATTCAGTTCCCTGACTGTGGTTTCAATGTAGGATTCATCACGGACTGACATGCTGAGTCATACAAATCAACAGTAATTTGCATACTGTGCACGAAATTTCATCACAGCAAGAAAATGAGGTACATAGAAATGGGATAAACTCAGTTCTTCATTGAGTAGGCTTACCTCAGCTGCAGATAGCCTAAATACACAAGAAATCATTACACAAAAAGTCAACAATATTGTGAAGATATTTGTTTCATAAGAGAAGGGATTGAAAATTTCATTACCTCTAAGTGTATCGATATATTCACTTACACGAACTTTTAGATTAGCATATCTGGAGAGTGAAAAGAGACATCTATTCAGTTTGATGAACGAGTGCCAAGGAATCTGAAGTTGAAAGGATCGCAGTGATTGTCCAGCTCAAATCGGCAGTGAATTGAAATATGACACAAGGCAATGTCTATAGCTTCTAAAAGGGGTAATATATAGGATTCAGAATCCTGATCAGCTTAGTAACTCTTAAATATTCTGGATACAAGGCTGACAGACTAAAGTGCAAAAACAAGTGGACTAGTTGCCCAGTGTTCAGTTAATCTTAATCTAGTGGTGGAGTGACTACGACTCTCTACCTGTCTGTAGGTTCCATAGTTATGTGCCAAGGCATCAACATGAATAATCTCTACATAGCAGGTCTAAATAGTCCTGGGTTTGTGTTGCTCACCTATGGGAACCTAGGAAGTTTTGTGCATCAGCGATTACGAGTCAAGCCTAGATGAGTACGGTGGTAATCTTCCTCTTGACCTTCCTGTAAATTAACCAATACAAAGTCAGGGTGACTCCAGGAAAACCGCAGTCATCGAGATTTACAAGCGCAAGATCAGTGGCATGGATATCCGGAGCACTGAAGATTTCGTTGGCAGTCAGAATTTCTCTCAGTGATCTGGGAGCAGTTCAACCGAATGGCAAGGAAAATCCTAATCCTGGTAGTCACTGCTGTTGAAGCGATCCCCAGAGAAGAGTGTAGTTTTACCTTGCGAAAGCGAGCAATATTCCGTCCGGAATGTTGGTGTCATTAACCCTAGTCATGGTTTTATTTCAATAACCTGAAGAGAGCCACTACTATGAATCTTTGAGATTATGGATTCATGAACCAGGGCTCATAGAGGAAGGGTGGCTGCACTAAGTCTGTAAGGTTGCAGAGAATTCAGTGAGATGCATTTTACACACATCGTCTTACGAGGAGATGAGCACAGAGAAACAGCTCACTACCCGGTTTGGAGGGTTCTTGGATAACACTGATCAATTTGAGGAGAAAGTCAACAGAATGCTGTGGCAGGAGTAATCGTTTTCACATGGATGTGTTTTTTAGGTGTTCCCCGCTCAGCAAGGGGCCCAATCTAGGAAGTTTGTGTTGGGACGTCAGCAGATCTGAAAACCGGCCTGTAAGTTACAGCTGAGCCGAAGATTGGGGTGAAATCTTAGATAAATGAGTGGAATAGCTGTCCTGTATTCAGATAATCTTATTCTGGTCGGGGAAAATACTGAACAATGAAGACGATGTTGAGTTACTAACATATCTTTTACATGAAAACTGTCCCAGAAAATCTACGTTATGTTACACCGTACACAAATATATACATATATGCGTTTATATATTACTAACTGTGATCGTTTCTTCAATAGTTCATGTGCTTGTGGATAATTTTTCATAATTTCTTCAAAATCTTGTTTTGATAAACTGAACAGTGTTGAAAAACCTTTCGATCTAACATCAGCTGTTCTTCTGTTCTTCCCAGATAAAGCTAATAAGCTAAGAAAAATAGAACAACAAACAAGCGCACGAAAAATGTGTTACAGTAAGAATGATGCAAGAGGATTGGCTAAAAGATAAAATGATAGGACAAAATCTCGGTGTTTTCGGTATACTGCACTCAAAAGGAAGTAAAATTTATGCATTATTAGTAGTAGTAGTTTTCTTTAGTAGAGAAGATAATTACTCATGCTTTATTGCAGACTGGCATTGTAGGGCTACATGATCACTCTGTGTGAAGCAATGGAGGATGATACAGTATAAATATCTACAAAGAATTATCTGTTTCCCCTTCTTGTGATGTTAATGACTGGTGAGTCCGTCTTTGTAACCCTTAACATAGAGCACGTATGCATTATAACATTCATTTCCTAAACTACCAACATCTACATATATATTTACATTTTCATATGTCATTGGAGAGGAACTTATGCCATTTTGTATTTATTGCAAGTGGTGAATGGGACGAGTCAGCAGAGAAATTTACATAGGATAAGATAAAAGACTTAAAAACTACCCATCAAAACCACATAACCAAGTAACTGCCTGCATGTCACACGTTAAAGAAGTATAACTAAAAATGTGACGAAAGTAAAGAGTCAATAAACACGCAAAACAGGACTGTTTACTTAACTTAGTATTATTTTGATATTGCATACCAATGAGTTAGAAAAACATTAAACGATGAAAAATTATAGGTTAGTAGTAAATCTCTTCTGAACTGAAGGTTCGAAGACATCGGTACGCAGAAAACAAAGGTCATTGGCTTCAGAGTAGTTATCGTGATATATGGATACAAACCAGAAGACCATTGAAAATTAAAGAGTACTGAACAGTTGTTTTGTCACGGCAGGGAACTCATCAGCTGTACCTATCTACAAGTCTACATAGAATCAAGTCAAGAATTGTCAAGTTTCACGGCGAATCTACTACCATTTTAACTACTGGGTTAGAATTCAGTGGTCTGGATTTTACGTTCAATTTACCATACAGCTGGATCATCATCAGATATCATCAGCAGGGATCCGCCATTACACCTGAGTTTATTTATGCGACAGATTATGGCTTTAAATTAGAACTTCAGGATACCCACTTAGAATGTGACTACTAATTTAAAGTGTAAATTAATCAGGAGATTGTAGACGTTGATTGAAGCAGTCATCATTCTGTACATTTTACGTTTATCAGTGTATCAGTTTATTGGTACAGTTGCGCGTCCCTGGCTTAGCTACTTTTCTTTCAACAAGTGATCATGAGCTGAAACTGCAGTTCATCCTGACATGTGAGCTTCACGTGTTGTCTAGTATACAAGCACGCATATGACTGTACAGCTGTTCAGTGCCGGCTTATTCCATCACTCCTTGTGTGTATTTCCTACAAGTACACAGTAAGAACGTAACCACTTTATCAAATAAATTAGCTTCAGCCTACGAACAATTTTTACTCTCACTCACTCACTCTGCAACTCACTCACTCACTCACTCACTCTGCAACTCACTCACTCACTCACTCACTCACTCACTCACTCACTCACTCACTCACTCACTCACTCACTCACTCACTCACTCACTCACTCACTCACTCACTCACTCACTCACTCACTCACTCACTCACTCACTCACTCACTCACTCACTCTGCAACTCACTCACTCACTCACTCACTCACTCACTCTGCAACTCACTCACTCACTCACTCACTCTGCAACTCACTCACTCACTCACTCACTCACTCACTCACTCACTCACTCACTCACTCACTCACTCACTCACTCACTCACTCACTCACTCACTCACTCACTCACTCACTCTGCAACTCACTCACTCACTCACTCACTCACTCACTCACTCACTCACTCTGCAACTCACTCACTCACTCACTCACTCTGCAACTCACTCACTCACTCACTCACTCACTCTGCAACTCACTCACTCACTCACTCACTCACTCAGAGTTCAAGAATTAAGTTTTAGTCTGTTTATAATGAAGTTCCACTTTAATGAGATTTATGCATAGAGTAAGTCAAACAAACAAATGCATGAACAACAGTGCATGACTTACCTTATTTCACCGAAACACTACCTTCTTTAAGTGTAACAAATACGATTGAATTATTTGGCCCACCAACAACTTCGACCATACCACTTTTAACAATATACATTTCTTTGCCTACTTCACCCTAGAACAAGTGTTTTATAAACGAATGACTTTTTAAAAAAATAAATTATGCGAATTTCGACTTGATAAAGTGTTATGTGAGATATGCGATCGATGCCTACCTTTGAAAATGACCTATTAAATTTTTAGAAAGATACCTGTCTTCATTGCACTGTTCACATCCAATAGAGTCAAACAGTATTAAAGTCCCGCCTAGAATTTCAAGCAAGCTAGTTGGTTAGATCAACAGCTGGTGTCAACAGCGGTGATTCGAGCATGTGACCAACTTCTACCTCAACGTCAATCTTTGCTTACTATAGGATTGAGTTAGAGGAGCGTACAGGTTAACGCGTGGGATCACTTCATGAAGTCTGTGATACTTGAGCAAAGTCGGGTAGGGGAACTGTAGGCTATACGGATAGGGTCCTTGGGAAACAAGATGAAACATTTGTTTGGTAAATGTTGAGAAGAGTTGCGACCATTTCATCTGAGATTATTCCTTTATTACCTGTTATCTCCCGAAATATCTATTCTTGGGACTGCCAGGTCTTGAGAAATGCACGCTGTCATTAGGTACTCTAGATTCGAGTCCAATGAACCCTGTCGTCTAACTTTCACTATTTTGATAGAACAGCATGGGAAATGACTCACTCAGTTGCCTGCCAAGGGGTTGTAGTACAGCTTTCTAGTATTACGACGGTTTCAGCAGTCCTCTCTCATCACTTTAGCCCCTTAAAGGATTTGGAAAGGAAACCTTTTAAAATGATTTAAAACACGACAAACGGCAAAAATTTCAAATTTACTTCCTCCATAAAGTGTTCGCTGTAGCTGCCTTATAAATAAGTCTACATAATTCAACGTAAAGGTAAAGGTTGAACACTGTGGTAAAATGTCATTCCATATAACGCGCAGTGATACGGCATTATTTACTGGATGGTCTTTTAAATATAATTTGTTTCAATTAATCACATTCAAGCAATCACGCAACCTTCAAATGTCATTTCCTCTACTGCGATTCGCTTGGTGATGGCTAGCAGTGGGATTTGGTATGAGGGTTTTATTCTATTTTGGACTCGTCAGCTGGATGTACTTGCATCCTATTGATTGATGGTGTTCCTGCTGAAACTCGATTCAGGTGCCTGTTGCTTCAAACGCCAGCTTTAGCAAATGCCAGTTGATACCCTTCGCACAAGAGACGGCTGTTGTGATCCAGCAGCCCAGTGACTAGCACTCTGGGGTCTCAGGAGACTGGTACTGGGTTCGAGCTTCAACAAGAACACTACTTATCACTGGGGTGCAGGTACATCTAGCTGGTGAGTCCTTAATAGGAAGGAAATACACGTCCTGGATTTAACTGCTAGGCAACATCAAGCAAACTACAAAACAATGAATCTTCGGGAAATATCAAACCATACACACAGGAGCCTGGATGCCAACACAGTTCTTTTCACTGTCTATCACTTCCTAATTTTATTTATTGTAGTGGTAGTAGAGTTTTCCAAATGTCTGACACACGTGATGAACCACTTCTGTTATATGTGTCAAGTGTTGATTAAATCAGTCTTTCCCTCCACGAGTGTTTGTCATATTTTGCAACTGTCACCCTATTTTCTTCACAATATAGTGTGATCGTGGGTCAGTGCATGAAAAGCGAGAGTTAAGATTCCCTCTGGTACAATGTAACTGACCCCAAAGTCATCATGTGGTGTTTGATAGATTAGGTTATTCTGCTGAAATGCATGTACTGCGTCTAAGCCTAAAAGGTGTTTCTCTGAGTATCATCTATAAGAATACTACGTAGAATATCTGATGTGCCTTCTTTATATGTGTGTTGCAACTACCACTAATACTATCACTTCTTCTCTCACAAGTCCTGACAGACTTTTTTTACAAATTCCATAGGGTATTCATGCATGGTAATGCCTCTTTAATGTGTTTTAGTTGCTGATTAAGATTTCCTGATGTGGTAATCAGAATATTCGCTTGATGGCCTGAATATTTCACGGAGTCTACCTTGACAGATATAGGGTGAGGGATGTAAAATGCAGTAGTTACCCACTCGAGTGTGATGGTCTCTTGTAAGCCTTGGAATCTTAACTACCATTTTTACTTCATGAGTTTCTGTATGCGAAGATAAGTAGTCCTGCTTTGGGATTTTACATTTTTCAGGTGTATCTGATTTAAAATGGAGGGGAAGTTCTAGGCATTTCGGTATAAAGGTACTGTTACAATGTTCTTTTTAATCAGGACGTCCCATAAAAGACAAATTTTGCATAGAATTTCACATACCTTTCGACAAATATAATCCATAGGAAGAAATACCACGGGTTTCAGTTTTAATATCATATCGTAGATGAGAGCTCGTTCACAGTTCTGTAATTAAATTTCAAAGAACATATCGAGCGACATCCAAATAAAGCAATGAGATAAGCAAACTTATTTCAGAATACTAAAAATATGTAGGAAAATAATTAAGTTAGATGGTCTGAGACAGCCTACTTTAATAGAAGTGATGTTAAATTTGGGGTGTCAGTTTAATGTTATCTGGTCCTAAGCGCTTACCGAATTCTGTCGATCATTTTGTGATAGTAGGAGACTCAGCATCGTGGTGCACTTCGACTAATGTTATACGGTTCTAAACAGTTGGCAAGAAGACCTGCTCCACCCAAGTTTCGTACTCGCTAGCACTCGTCTGCCTGGAGTATCTGGAATCTCGATAGGACTGATGTCCCCTATAAAATTTAAAATAATATCACCCAGTGCTTCATTTAAGGACATTAACACTGAGCCATAAGGGAAAATATCAACTTCCTGTAGGCCTGGTTCCGATACATTAACTGATCACTGGAGAACAACCAATATCATGTTGTCTAGTCCTAAGTTCGAATCTTTCAGAGAGAATTATTTCCTTTGAACTTGCAGGAAATACATTTGGTTCACGGTAATAATTTTTTAAAACTCTTATTTTCTGTTTCTTCCCGCTTACTCCTGTATCACTTGTTGTCCAATCAAAATGGACGAGGAAATATCTCACGTGAGTGGTTGCACGAAGTCGAAAAGTACCATAAAACAGGGCAAACTGAAGAAGGGTTGTTTATTTTCATGAGCGATGATACCGTCCGAAGTGCTGTAACCGTAACCGAATCAATCTTTGTGGGACATTTTTGTCTCGCTATGTTTCCGTCTTTAGAGTCTTTGATGGAATATGCGAAGCCAACGTACACGCGCTACGTTGTAGGAGATTAACATTTGAACGGTGACCGAAGAGCCTCCATCAAGTTTGTTTGCTTTAAGGATAGTGAACGCCGGTCAGTAGATGGTGTAGTGACAAGAAGGTCAGTTCTGTTTATTTTCATTATATATTTCGTAGAATATCCTTGAAATGTTCATGTCGGTTGTTCGTGCTCGCTAAGTTCTTAGAATGTTTCTGAACGGTCACAATCATTCCTGCAATTCTTTGCTTTATGACGAGAATTCTTGGGCGAGGAATTCGAAGGGTGTTGAAGTGAAGAGCATAATACCATTGCTTATATCCGTCACGGCTGCATTTAGTGTTGTTGATTTCGTCTATGCACACTAAAGTAAACGACTAAATAACCAAGATGTGTTCAATATGTGTTAACACCTCCTCGTTCAGTATAAATTGAAAAGCAACTGAATTTATCCTTGAAACCACTTTGTAGTTATGAAAAGTTGCAGGAGCATATAATCAGTCAAGCTGGATCGGCTTCCTTCTCTGTCACAGAGGATGGAGATCTGAAATACTTCTTTTCGCCACAGTCAACCAGCTGGAATTAGCTGAAAACTGTCTTGATCTGCTGGATCTCGATGGCATTTATAAGGCTAATTATGAGAACTTTTTTCTTTACGAGTTCGTAGCCATTGACGTCAACTTCATGGCTATTCCCATAGGTTTTGCTATCATAAGCAGTTAGACATCAGACCTGATTGGTGCATTTCTGGGTTTTCTAAAGAATATCATTGGAAGCCGTAAAGTGGGTACTTTCATCACAGATGACTGTCATGCAATTTCGTCTGCATTATCCCAACTAAAACCTGCTATGCAGGCGTATAATTAAGTACTGTATACAAAGAAATATCCCCCCAGACGCAGTTAACGTTTCTCTATGTTGGCTCATGCGGGAAAATGAGCAGCACAATGTGCCAGTGCAAAAACACACTCTGCAGTCAACCGCATGCCTTCTGTCATCAGGAAACCAACTTTGGATGGTGGTTTTACCATTCTTCACTGATGAACAGCAGTTCCGCACAGTCCTCTGGTTTGTACGGAAAATTGTTAAATGGCAAGACACGCATTCCGGTAGACCCAAGTCCAGAACATCTCGCAGGACATAGTTTATCCGGTGGTTCCCGAGAAGAAATGAAAGTGATGGCTGCAGCTGTGAGTACGATCACGATGGCAGACGGTGGAAGACCATAACTCCATTTGAAACGATTTCTCAGTCTATGGAGTCTATGGAGTTGGTCACTCGGAACTCTGAGGAGATGGGCCATATAGATGTAAACGATGCTTTCAAAGTGATGCACCAACCTCCATTCCACATGTCAGTACATGGAGAGCATGCTGTTGTCTCAACATCCACTTTCTACCAGTTAAATGCTTCGGAAACAGATATTTACACTTTCAAACAACAATACATCTATGGTGTAACCTGTGTGCGAATTTGCTGTTGATCTGCTCCATTTTGGAAGTTTCATTTCGTCGACTAGGAAAGTTCGTGATGGGATCTATGCATTAATCAGACACAAAGAATGTAAGAAATGAACTCAGGATACTTTCTGAAACTATTAACAATATTAACGTCACCAAAAATCCGTATATTTTCCTTTTGCACAAAATATTAAATACTTACACAGTATTTACAAGCCAAGTTACTGCAGTTATTTGATAACAACAAAAATTCCTATACACTACCATTTCTTAGAATAATAAGAAAGTAACTAAAAGCTGTCTCTTAATCACAGGTGACATAAAATAGTTTCTACGCTTTCATACTTTACCGTGAACAGCAAATTCACTCTCAATAAAAAGTTTCGAAGGACAGAGTACTTGGTAACAGTTTCGTGGCAATCAAGGAGACACATTGTAAAATTTGCCCATATCAACGTGATTACTCAGTTAACACCGGTTGGTCAGAACTACGAAGGCAAAGTAATCAGTTTCTCACCAACATTATCCTTAAAGTTACAGCTAGTAGTGTATTCTTACATGGATTTAAATGTATCAATGAGAAGATTGTGTACTGTGGAATGGAATAATATGAGTACATTTTCAATGAAAGGTTTACAAACAGTGGTATACTTTTATTTCTGTAAATTACTAGTAAAATATTCCAACTGTTGGTTCAGTTACGAGCAGTAATTTTGTTCGAATTATTACCAAAATAAGAGCTTATCATCATGTGCAAACTTCCCACAAATACATTAGGATTTGGATTTTTCTGGAAACCTCATTTATCGTTATAAATTACACTCAAAACATACTGATCTCGGCGACTACCAGGACGCGCGTTTCGTCCTACTCGGGACTCTTTAGCTGAATGTACCCGCACCCCAGTGAGTGATATTGTTCCCACTGTAGACAGAACTGAGTACTCATCGCTTCAAACGCCAGAGCGTTATCCACTAAGCCGAGTCCCAAATAGGACGAAGTTTTCTACAAATTTTAAATTCGTTTTGGATTCAATCTTTACCTGATGGCGATTACTTTCTTAAAACAGATGTCATGTGACAAGTGATGATGATGATTTTCTAGGCCAATCTAAATACAGATAGCTTATCTGGGCTCAACTAATCAGATTCCAAAAGTAAGTATCCTAGTCCAATAGGAAAGTATCTTGGCCACATAGACACATTAGCTTTTAAAGAGAGGAACCAGCCAATCACTTTTCATTTCCATTTTTTTTTCCACCCGAATAAATTGGGGGGAAGTGTTCCGGGTAATGAACGTCAACCAACTTGCAGGTACGCCTTGCAAATAAATGCCAATAAACACGGAACTTAGTCGGAGCAGAGTTTACTGCAGATTGTCTTCAGTCACCTGACACCAAAATTTATAATAAAGGTATGGACTTATTCGAGGTTTCATATTCCTTAATAGATATTTCACAAAGAAATAACTGATGAAGAAGTCATCTGGCATGGTCATAAATTTCATGAACAAAGGCTAGCGTTATAGCTCATCGAACAATTGCCCTCTTCATTCTCAGCTAACAGACTGTTATACTTCTTAATATAAAATTTGTCAATCTGCTATCTGGACTAGTGACTTTCAGATTGTCAATGTAACAACTTTCTGACTCTTATCTATAAATTAATTACCAAGTTTTCTTGCCCGATTTTATATGAATGAAGTAAAACACTCAGTGTTAATGGATACTGAGAACTGATTAGCTGTCGTTGCGGTGATAACTGTGTGACATCTACTTCAGTCGTATGAAATGTACGGCAACCAAAGTTTTCTTTCAAACTCAATTAACACAACCATTCATTCCTATATGGAAAAGTTCGTCTGTAAGTGAATTTTTTTCATTGATGACATTAGATTTAAGTGCATTTGAAGAGTTTCAACCGACTATCATCATTAAACACTGATGTAGATGCCTAACATATGTTGAATAGCTGAAGATATCAAGCGACAATCAGGAAGTTCTAGAATACTTTTACCCTTTGGGGGTTTCTGGGGATTGATTGATTTCAAGGTGGCATTCTTCATGAGCTGACATCATTTGGAGAACCATTGTAAAGCAGACGGTACTGGACAGCTGTTTCGTCCTGGTAAGTACCTCCTGAAGGGTCAGATTCAGGACCGTCAGTTCTTGAGGTGAGTATGCTGATCATTTAGCTATAATAAATAGAAACAATTGCTTACTGCTTTCAGGTTTTCAGTAGTTCTCCAACTGGTGTCACTCTGTGACGAATACTACCTTGAGATAAGGTTACACCGTTAGTCTTTCTCTCTGAAATTCGGTTCGCTGATGGATGGCACATTCATTTCAACAAGTGATTTAAGGATCCTAAATGAAATATGGTCAGTAACCTAATGCTTCAAAAATAAACTAAGCTAAACCTATAACTGAGGAAATAGTTTTGTAAAGCCGAAAGATATTAGGTGTAAAACAGAATATAAAAATATGTGTGTTTGTGTGTATTGGAAACTACTGATTAGTTTCTCGTGATTGGCTAAGAAAAAGGTTAAAGTGTCAAACTTTGAAATTCTTGAACTTCTACCTTAGCAATTGATAAAATGAATTTGGATTATTTTTCAGCCACCTTTAAAATTCAAATTTCATGCTTGGAATTTTACTCATCGATTAATTATCTGTCAAAATTAAGCTAATAATCATTTGTACACACAGAATGAAGTAATTTAATAGCTACTAATCATACGGTACAGTTAATTTTTCTTGTAACTCCTCTCCTGAAGTACAGTGAAAATGTAGAATGGAACATAGTGAAATACAAGAAATGAATAAAAGAGATGCACAACAGTCCATGACTTTCGACATATTCGTTGGATTTACACACCAGCATATGGTTTGAGATTCCGAGTCAAATTAAAAATATTACACAGTATATCACTTTGAAGTTGAGAAATTAAGTAACTGGTATCAAATAACTGTTGTCAATCAGGAGATAAAAAGAATGAAGTGAGATATGCAGAGATCCTGACAACCAGTTTCGAAAGTTTGACTCAAACAGACTGAACTGCAGTATAGTGCCAGTCAGATTAGTGGACGTATTGTTAAGCTGATCGATAGATTTCGATCGAAAATGTAAATCAGAGAGGTGGACTGCTTAGCATTCGGGGAGTTATTCATGTAATTATCGATTTTCCCCCAATTTACTTTACAAGTATGAATACTAGCAAAGTAAGATGAATTTAAGATATTCTTGTTACATTTTAAGTTAGGCTAGGCTAATTTGAAGGCCCAGTGACGAAGTATACACAGTAATATTTGAACTTATTGGCCCTTGTAAAGAAAGCCTGGTTAATGTAAAACTTTTAAAGTCTATTTCAAGGTGGTAATTTGCTCACCAAGAGATTTGACGGTCCTGAGATCACTTCTCAAGATGTAGTGGGTGTGTACACCTCAGAAGCTCGAAATACGAGGAAACAGCGGTCCAGGGCTTATATGGTTTCGATGGTTTTACTAATAGTGTCGGTTTGTGATGTATGTTGACTTGTAAACTGGGTAATTTAAATATCCCCAGTAGGATGACCAGGTGTCAGTTTTCGACTATACATCGAGAGTTTTATCTAACTGACAAACATTGAGATCTGTCAAGTCTGTCAAGTTAGAGATATCCCACATAGTTTTATGAAAAGTGACTGGGAAAATAAGGTATTACTGTTCCATTTTAATTCTTTTAGTATATGTATCACACAGTGAAGCAGTATTATTGATTGCATGTCATTTTTTGGCACAAAGAATCCCTCAATGCAGTAATATGGAAGTGACTTCCTGACAGTTTTTCATGGCTCTATTACTGTAAATTGAGTATTCAAAACCTCTACAATGTTACCATACTTGTAAAACATCTGAGAAGCCTTTTGAAAAATTGTTAATAAGCCTGACATTAGAGTGGCCTTTAAACCTACAAATTAAATTAGAAACAAGCTTTGTAGTTTGCGAGATCCTATTGATCCAATTCGGCAAAATGACCTACTTTGTCAAATCTCTTACCGTGATAGAGAAGTCAAATGGGCTTTCAAGCATAAAAAAGTGAGTGACTTTAAAGGGGATACTATTATTATTTTATTATTAGTCCCTTGGATTCCTAATGGAACATAGGGCTTCACTAGCACGTCTCCATTCCACTCTCTTCTCTGAAATCTTTTGAACCTGGTTCCACGACAGCCCACAACCTCTCATTTTCTCCTCGCACGACCTCCTCCATGTCACCCTCTCCTCGGACGCCCGACTCGTCGCTTCCCATGGGGATTCCACTCGAGGGCCTGACCCGTGATGTCTCCAGTCGGCATTCTCAGTGTATGCTCAATCCATCTCCACTTCCCTCCAGTGCATATTTGTTGGGTGATAGGTTCTTGGTTGGTTCGTTCCCAGAGCTCCTTGTTGCTCATTCTTTCTGGCCTTCTCATCTGATCTTCAGTAGCGAGCGTAGGCAGTTGTTGATGAATGTCTGTAGTTTATTGGAAATGCCTTTCGTAACGCGCCAAGTCTCTGAACCATACAGAAGCACTGACTTGATTTTGGTGTTGAAAATCCGGATGTTGTTCCACATGCTGAGATGAGTGCAGAAGATCTCCACACTGGTTTCAGGCTAATAAACGCCTGTCTTGCTTTTCTAAAGGGGATACTACAACTGGCAAACCAACCAATCGAATGTTAGCATTCCGACTGGGAAGATTGTTTTTCATAAAATAGAGGAAAGTAATTGATCATCTCAGCCGTTACTAGGGTGGCCTTTAAAGTTACTCCAAAAATTAGCTAGATTACGATTAGCTTATCCGAATAAGGTATCTAGAGGAAAGTTCGGCTATCACTATTTATGCGATTGCATGCCAAGCTGTAAATAAGACAGTTTCACTGTGTAATGGGTATGTGAGAAAAGAACTATAATTATTGGATTGCACTGCACATAACGCCTTATCCTACTCTTATATTGATCGTGTGTAGGGCTTCTTAACCCCCTTCTTTCATGTGGTAGTATTAGGACAATTTTAATTTCTTTTGGCCTAGAATTACTGTTATTACTGTTGTATATGTCGTTGGTTGCATAAATTATTAGTATTTTTCCTACTACTCCTTACATGTCTGCAGATGAATCCACGAGGATAGTCAGTGAGCAATGGCACAAATCTCTACCATCTCAGTGGTACTTCTTTTAAGCGTAATATTTCTGAAGAGATGGGAATAGATTGAGTGAAACTCACGTCCATAGTCTCAAAAATATGATCTTTGAAACTGTCAGATTTACACTACTCACTACAAAGATTACTACTGGTATTAGTAGTCGGTCAAGATGGTAGTGTGTGGTGTGATCTCTAACACGAAAGTGTCATGAAATAGAGAAAATCACCACTACTACTACTACTACTCATGTCATTCATTAGTACGCATCCCACATTGTTTTCGTTCGTTTATTAAAAATAAAATGACACCACTTACCTGAAATAGAGAAACCTTACTCAACGTATGAAAGTGTACGCTGATGGCCAGGTCACTTTTGAGCTTGATTGGCAATGACTCGAATAGTGAGTTTTCATCTATGCGAAAAGAAAAGTATACACTAAAGATTAAGTTACTGAAACGATTTCCCAGTCTCCCATAATAAGGACAACTCAGGTAGTTTCATCAATAAAGATACGGACTTCTACTTTGATGGGACTGTGAACCTGCACCAACTTGAGATGACCTTGACATGCATGTGTTGCACATGCCCAGATAGTGCCTGCTTCTATGTGTAATATGAAGTGAAGTGGTATAAGATTGGAGAGAAGCTAAGGCTGGTCAAATCAAGAGGTTCCACCGCCTCATCAAGTCTGAAGGTTGATTTTGAGCCATGTAAACTCTATGGGTGGGGTTCTCCAATCAAAACTAGTCGATGGTTAAAGAATTTTAGTGATGTGACTCGAAATCGGTCACAGTGATGCATATTTATCCACTCTTTCTCTTTCTCTAAGTCTCGAACATTTGCATTGACTTTTATCCATTTATCCTCTCATCTTTTATACACCTTTGTCGACTTTACTGTCATGTTTTTTGCATTCACTTCTTTCTTGCGTACTGCTATGAAGTTTGGTAACTTAAAGTGGTCCATTTATTTATCAGGCTGGTAGGGTTAAAGCTGACGGATCATGGGCTGCTGGCTTGGTGTACTGACGACTTAGTTCCAAGGCTTAGCTGTTGACCGGGGTTCAATTGACCTTTTTGGTTTTCTAGACCTTCCCCTGTTTTGCAGGTCAACCAAATGTTACTGACCGTAAGAACAGCCTCTAGTTAGGCGTATATGCATGAAAACAGTGTACAAAACAGGCCATACTCTCCTAATGACGGACAATGACCTAATATCCCTGATATCTACTATTACTTGCTTTACAGTGACGGAATCTAGTGCATGGGCTTGGTTATTACATTAAGGTTGGCTGCATCTCACACTCATCGCTACCTAGAGGCTGTTGGTTTCAAATCCTGATTTCCCTTCTGCTTTACCTATCATCCACCTACATAAACAGAACTGGGTTAACTCTTTTAGAATAGTTTCGTGCCACAAACTTCAACCATTCAGCATAGAAAACAGTATTTAGTCATGTAAAAGTCAGCAAACAGTGTTTCAGGTAGTTCCTCTTGCACAGTCGAAACGAGCATATCTGGTGCTCATTAGTGACTTCTACTGAGTCTGGTTTTCTGAAGTTCTTTTGGGAAGCTGTGAGGTGTCAGGTTAGTCAAGTTAGGTGTGAGGACAAATACTCACTGGTGATATCAAATAACGGTCATGCAATAGGGCGAATAGATAGAAGTAGGAAAATATGGGTATTTGGATTTCAAACCAGTTGCTTAATGATAAGGTAATCACCACAGGATCTGAAAGTGGTGGGCTCCATCTGCCACTGGATCATGAGTGTACACTGATCAGTAAATCCATACCACGATGAATAAGGTGCTCACTGTTCATAGGCTTTTGGTAGTCTTCCAGGTGATGTTTTTCTCGTCAATAGAAGCTGACACACTTTAACTGAAGATCAATTAAAGATCTTAGTGGATAGTCATGCTATATCGCGAAGTGAGAGAAATAGGAGAATGTAGAATGTTGGATCCATACCCAGTGACTCGTTAAAAAGGTGCTCGTCACGAGACCTGAATGTTCTGCATGTGATACCTGCCCAGGCCATGGATGGGGACTGGTGAGGAGCCCCATGCTAAGACGAAACAACTTCTCAGTGTTGCTAGATTTTCAATGAATTTCCAAGTGATATCAGTCCATGATGAATGCAACCCTAAGAATAAAATCCCCGTAAACCCCAGACTACATTATTACTAGTCAGCTAGGCGGAATATAAATTATTTGAACCAGGCTATGTGTACAAAATGTACAGCCGTGATTTGCTTCTTTAAACCTGTGAAACAGTGTTTCGTTCATTTTGGCATTTCTGGTAATTAATGCTGGCTGGTAGAAGAAAAATAAAACTCTTCTATCTCGACCATTATTACTCATCATTCAGTGGGCAAATGTTTCCTGACCGACGGGTGTTACCTTGACGTGGTGGTCTTGCTTACATATCACAATGACTCATCTAACTACACTGACGAAAGTATTGTTCCCTCAAGATGCTACCATGTCAAAAAGGCAAGTTGGATAGTAGTAAAACAAAAAGCAGTTAGTTTTACTGTATATTGCTACACTATTATGGGGTTCCAAAAGAGAATTCTTACTTCTGACTGGACGGGCTGTAACAGCAATAGGATGTTAGTTGCGGATGACCAGAAGTTAATACTAATGCTGCTTTCTCTATGGGAAGGGGATAGTAAGGAAAGGTTAGCTCAAAAAACAGTACACTGATCCCTGCACTGTGGTTTTCCGGTACCAGCGGTAAGGCTATTCCAACTGGATAAAAATAAAGCGAAGCTAAACCTGAAACTTCCTAAAAGGCCGTGTGCCACTGACCTCAAGCAGATGTCTCTTGGGCCCTATAGTCAAGCGCTGCTGTTACAGATTCATTTTAATTTTCACTTAAATTGGGAAGAAATAGAGTTCCTTCGGTGTGTGCAAACCGCAAGTGTCAATCACCCTGCCAACTCTAGCAGTACTCAAGTTGCTTCAAATCAATAAAAACCTTCAATAGCTTTACCATCTAATCTTTCTTTTCGTCTCATCCTCATTTTGTTTTAGCTCTGTACCTCTTAATAACCATGTGGCTTCATGGAAGCTGCACTGCATATACATATTGAGGCTTTAAGTATCCGCACACTGTAAAACTGCCCAACAAGCGTCGCTGGCCAAAACTCTAGAATCTTGGGTCACGAATGTGTGCTTTCTTGTGAGACACACATACAGAACCCATTCACTTAAGGTCAACAGGTCAATATGGTGGATTCCAGAATTTACTCCTCGAGTTTCTGAATGTTCAGTGGCTAGTTCTGGTGGTCTTGTAGGTATAGGTGTAGGACTATGCCATGGCAGAAAGTGCATTCTTTTACTGGATCCAAATTGACAGTCGCCTATGCGCTATTTGACTTAGCAACAGAATAAGGACAAACAATAATAGTGAAGCTCACTGTTGTTTTTCTGTAATCTCTGCTTACGCACCCACTGACTATATTTTGGATGAAGCAAAAGAATGAATCCCACAGAAAACTATCTAACCACCTACTGAAAGCCAAGTTCACAAAAGTGGTCATTGTTGCTAACGATTTCAATTCATAAGTGGGTATACTAAGTTAGGCGAAAGGTATATAGGTGGCCATTTCAGAATTCCAGCCAGACGATTAGATAACGCCGAATGCCTACTAAAACTGCACTCAGACGACCATCTCTTTCTGACCAGCTGGAAATTCAGAAATAAAGCGAAACATTATCTGACGTGGCATCCACCAACCTCAACTCAGCGGTGGGCACAGACAGGCGATATTGCTATCGTTTACCTCTAGAGAGGGTGGGTGGAGGATTGTCGCTCCTTCTGGAGCACATGTTTGGATAGTGACCCTGCTTTGGTTCAAGCACGTGTATATATGCGCCCAGATGAACCTGGGGAAACTACAGCAACATGACCATCGAGAGTGCAGGGTGACGGTAAGAATCCTAAGAATAGTTTCAGTAGGTTGGTATCCGGAAGCTGCTGGTTTGACTCCTGCTAGGACCCAGATTTTCACTAAGGCTTCAATCATCCCACCATATAAAATCTAAAGTGAATAATTTAATGTGACTCAGCCTCGTACAGCCTGATTTATTGTGTGATAAGCCTTTCTTGTGTAAAGGCTTAAGATACTATGTGGTTGCCCTTGGCGAAGTGGGTGCACTGAGGTTTGAACTCAATACCCAGTACTTGAAAGTCAGGCTCTTAAGCTAACAAATAGATGAGAACCATTGACATCAAGTATTCAAAAGTCGACTTCGCCGGTGTTACTCACCAAATGTTTTCTGTTGATCCCAGTTATACATAAACCAACTGCGAACTTTATTGACAACGTGTTCTGGAGCGTGTAAATGCTGCATAGATGACAATGTGGCGTCCATTATTTTGCGATAATTCACTTTGTTTGCGCTGGCTGAATCTAAGATATCAATGACCTAGAGAAGGAAAAATGAAGAAACGGAAAATAACTCATTTCAATGCACGGTTCTTTCAGTTCCAACCAACTGAATTAATTTATGAAGTTATCAGAATGATTAAACATTATTTAGAAAATTATGATTAACTGAGGGAGTTATCGACAGATCTTCCCTTTTATGGTTTGTGAATTCTCAGTAGTCCAAGTGAAAGGTAGATAATGGAAGGAACCGAGTCAAAAAGAACTTCAAGTTTCACAATAAAGCGTATTAAAAAAGTAGCTGACTGAAGGTTTACTAGCCTATGAGATGATCGAAAAGATTTGTAGCTCGGCATTAGGATGATGGTGGTTTGGTGTTCTCTGAGCTTTGATATTTTGTCATGAATATCTTATCACCAGGTTTGGTGACATCTTCAGCAACAACTTCATAGAGAAGTGAGACATATACGAATGTTAAGATAGTGTCCTAAATGACCTTGGTGTTGTCTACTTGTAAGTTGTAGAAGAGATTTTTATCACACCTTGACCTCGTTATTCTTAAATTTCCTCCAGTCACTCTGGTATAGAATTCTTACTAGAGCGAAACTCTACTATTTGCTGCTGTTATAATTTGCTTCATCACTGATTTTTTTGATCAGTTCGCCCTTGGTTGATGGATAACTATTTTCTTCCTAAGTGTATTGCAGACTGGGTCTACATCAACTTGTGTATCGATTGACTTTTGGTTGGAAGGCCATGCTTCTTGAAGTTCACTTGCAGCTTTCGAACCTGCTGCTTGGAGTATTTCAACATTCTATTAGTTGAATTTGTGATCGCGGTTGTCTGCGTGAAGTGAAACCAACGAAGCTGCATCATGTCACCTTTCTGTCACTTGGTGTTCATGAATTCATTGAACAAACCAGCCGCTAGCATGGCCATCATAGTGTTGTGAAAAATCTTTGCAATTGGTTGTATAGCTTATATTTGTCCTATCTTGTTTTGGCAATGGATCCTTTGGCTAGTACAACGTGCTGCTTTGTGTTTTTGTTGGTTTGTGTACTACTCCAATCCCGAACAGACGACTCAATCAGTTGATTACTAGTTCATATTTTCTGTGTTCTGTTGATTCCAATATGATAACACAGACATCATCTAATGTGATCTGTTGATATATTTTCTTACCATCAACTTGGTTGGTGGTACAGACCGTAGTTTCCAGTTATTATTTTGAACAATCCATCTTGAAGTCAATCAGTCCGGAAAACTCAGTAGGGTACAAGAAGAAGCAATTTAATACACTGATCAACAAGTGGATGCCAACCAGACATGTGGTGGTCCATTTACGTCAGAAAGGTTGGGTACTGCAATCAACAGGTGATGTTTGATTTCGTCGTAACAATCATCTTTACAGATAGATACGTGTAGAAGTTGGTTCTTCGGTTGGACCGATGCCTGCCAACCTGCTCATGTCAAAGTTGGGAACTGCTATTCTGAAACCATAGGTAGACTACAGGGATACTTGTCATTGGATATTTGGACGACACCTCTGCTCTATTTGATATAATTAATTACTATTGATGAATATAAGCATATGAAGTCCATGGAAAAATTCTCCCATGAGTTGGGAAATTCAAGTGAAATGTTTTTCTTAGACGTCCTTTAAACCAGGTCATTTGCGTGACATATAATCAGAAGTGTTTAACACAAACCATATTGGAGTGGATATTATTCAACATTATGATAATCATCAACATAAGGCCAAGAGTTACTGCATTGCAATCCAAGTTGCGTCACCTCATATCAGTATGTCGAATGAGAAAGGCACTAAGATGAAAGATAAAGAAATGGAGAAGAATCAGTTATAAGTAGTAGAAAGTAGTAAAAGATCGAAAGAAGGAATAAGAAAATACTGGATTCAGTATTATGATGAAGACAAGTAGAGTGTATGGATACGTCTTTGCTACGCAAGCCAGAGTCTCCAACCACTGGTTTATGTTTTCACGCCGACCCTAAACGGTAAGTCTACATTACGCACGTAGCTCATATCAACAGTCACGGACTTCATGCAGCAGTCTGATCACTCGTTACCTTTCTCCAGCCTAAACTTGCTTCAAATAACATTGTGTGATGAGACAGACGGTGACTAGGGATTCATGACACATGTCCTAGCCACCTCAGTCAATGAAGGTCTATAAATGCATCAACTGATTTTCCTCTCCTCCAGAATTAATGCTTTTCTGAATCGACTTGTCTGGGATGCACTAGAGCATGTAAAATAGCAACTTCGGTATACCCATTGAAAGAGAAGTCAAAAAAGATTGTGAGTTGTATGGAGTCCCATTTAATTGACACTAGTCACAATGTAAAGATGAAGTCTGCTTTTCCGGTCATCCACAAGATACCATTTCGAATGCCACAAGCAGTAAGGAATCATTTTCTTCAAACTGCTAAAACTATTTCAATAAAAATCATGAAACCTGAGTTTCGTTCTCAGAAACATCTCAAACATTCTCTTGCTCTTCCTTGGTCAAGTACACGATCACTCAATTAACTTGTACACATTCTGTATTAATCTGATTTGGTGGTTTCCAGATTTTGATTTTGATTTTTCATTTTCATGTTTCCATCTTTGCATTTAATCATCTGGTATCTTATAGTTACTCGCTGCCGGTTATGATTTTACTGCAGTTGTAGTTGATACTCCAATTATCTGTTAACTACTCAGATGAAATACTGTTAAATTAGCTGTTACACAGTTTTAATCACGAAAAATGATAAATATATACCAAACTGTCACTATTGTAGCTCATATAACCTCTCGACATGTGCATGCTTTTTAGCTCAAAATATTGGATTTAAAGGTAGCGCCTGATGAAACTTCGACGGAAATATGCGGTTGAGCAAAAACTCGTCTTTCCAAGCAAGGAGGACTCAAAATTTCTCATTATGCTGCATTTGGTGTAAAATTTATTTCATTGGCTTTTATTTATGCAGAACACAATTTCTTTATCTCTCTCTTCCTACCTCACTCTGTGAAGTCACGCTAGTTGAACGGCTTAACGATGACACTTTAACTGTCCCAGAAATGACCAAGGTTTAAGTCAGTATGCGTGAGCAGATCTGCTAGAGGTTAAGCATACGCCTTGCTGATAAGTACTCAGAAACACGAAACTCAAGGTTTGCCATATATTTCACATCCATAAGCCTGCTAACCACTTCACTTACACTTGTCTAACGTGAGGCGAAAATTTATTTCAAACTAATTTGGTAAAAGTGGCTATAAGTGTAAAAATAAAAACGAGTTGCTCGTTACTGTCTGCAGTGTTCTTCACAGCTTCTTTTTCCCGGTCTTCAGTCACCTAGACAGTCAGCCAAGTGATGTTTGTGTGAAGATCCAATTTCTCACTTTATACATTTACTGAAGGAGCTGTTACACCACTTATTATGACAAGGAATGCCAGTCGTTGACTCAAATCTGCTTAAAGACACCCATTTGTACTCTCGAGGAACAACGTGAATATTGAGGAGTTATGACCCAGACTGCATGATTACATTATAAAGCAAGGGCCCATAAACCCGACTTGTGAAATAATGTCACTGCATAACACTTCATCCTCTGCCACCGAAAGGGATGAAAGTCAACAACAAAAAAGGATAGAGATATGAAGGCAACAATGACTTGAGGGAAAATGAACTGTGAGAACCAACTACAAGATTCAAAGACTGTTAAACTGTGAATGTATCTGCTCCAACATGACCCATTGTGACCATAGAGCTTCTCATCACTGACCTAATTCATCTTGTACACCCCAAATATGAAACATTTAGTGTTTTGTACTACTGACGCCAAAAATAAGAAAACTTAGGCTTTGATCCCAATGAAATAGTTTTATTCCTAAGTATTCAATGGGTTTTGAATTTCCTCAGCAATTTTTATTCAACAAAACTAGAAAAAATTACAAAAATAATAATCAGATCTACGGAAATGGAGACAGAACAACTGCTATTTGAACACCAGCTATTTATACAGGTTCATTCAAATTGCTACCTACTTCGCCTCATGTATGTGCGCCTCTGTGTGTTTGCTGGATAACAGTTAAAAGTTAAGTCCAGCAGTTTAGGAGTTCAGAGGGAACCGGCTGATTTCAAGTGAGTTTTTCTCAGGAATGGATATCAGTTGAAGAATCACTGAAAACCTGAGAGAACTGGACAGCTATTTCTTCTCATACCAGGACTTGTTAGCACCCCCTTTAAAATCGAACACAGAACCATTAGGTCTTAAAGCATCTGCTAACACAACTGGCTCCACTGAAGCAGTTGAACTGATAAACGCAACAAGAAGTAACCAGTTTAGGTATTTGACCTTTCAGATGATGTTTTAGGACTTTAATTTATTGTGCTCTTGAACACCTCCCAACGTGGCTGAATAAAGGTTAGCTGGAAAATGTAAATAGCTTCATATTAACTCAGTTGTTTCAAAAAGACCATACAGCCAATATGAACCAATCATTCACCGCATCCCCGTTAATTTACCAAAAGCTACAATATACCGAGGAGAAGCCATAACCATTCAGCTTTAGCACTCTGAGTTATTTGTGTACAAATAAAACAGTTGCAAACATTATTACTGCCTTAGTCACCTTGTAAATCAGCAAGTCTCTGAGATAACTGATTTTGTCTATCCACCACCTAAATTACTGATCATTTTAAGTGCATTAGCGGCCGACTGTCTTAAAAAAACCCTGTTTGAACGACATGAATAGTATCACTGGTCACCAAATTGTCTTATCTAATAAGTTTGTGACATTAGAAACTAAAATGGACTATCTAGTTGTATAAATGTGCGATTTCCGATGCACTCCAAGTCAATTTCATGGTATTTGTACTTAGGGTATTAATTGGAACCAGATAGTTACTGTCATATTTTCATTTTACATAGTTTTGTTCATTGTACATCACCATGAATCTGTTGACAGAGATACGGTATCTGTGATTCGTAAAACTGAACCATTAGAGGTGCATATTACCTTAAAAATTTCT